GGCTGGGGATTCGAACCCGCCACCTTAGGTGTACGTGGCTGGCGCCTTAGCCGGTTGAGCTATAGGCACCGAGCCGAGAGAGCTGTTTTCTAAGCAGAGCACTCATATCCTATGAAGCCAAAGGAACAGGCTCCAAGGATGATGGGCAGTTTGCACAGCTGTGTGCTGGGTCTGTCACGCCCTCCCAGCCACCCTAACCAAAGGGCCATCAGCCTTCACCCAGCAGCACTTGGCTCTCTCCAGCTGGGAAAGGAGACAGTGTTGCTTCTGAGTAGGCAGGCACACCCGAGAAGCTTCCAAGTGGGGCTAAAGGGTGTCAAACAAGGTCCTAAGCAGAAAGAATAGCTGGGGAAAGTGCACAAAGACTAAACACAGCCAGGTGCCGTGGCTCGCGCCTGTAATCACAGCACTCTGGGAGGCTGAGGCGGGAGGATTACCTGAACTCAGAAGTTCAAGACCAGCCAGAGCGAGATCCCATTCCTACCGAAAATAGAAAACTTGGCTGGGAGTTTTGGAGGACACCTGTAGTCCCAGTTACTTGGGAGGCTGAGGCAACAGGATCGCTTGAGCCCAGGAATCTGAGGTTGCTGTGTGCAAGGCTGATGCCACAGCACTCTACCCAGGGCAACAGAGTGAGACTGATTAAAAGAAAAAACTAAATGCCACACTGGCTCTTAGGAACTAACCATCCCAAACAGTGAGTAGGAAGACAAGCCCAAGAGAGATGGGAACCCACATGTATTCTCCAAATCTACAAATTCTTTTGCAATGTTAATAATTCCTCTGGAAATGAAGGAAGTGAGTCTGCTCCTGTTTCTAAGCCCTCCTTAGCATAATGCCACAACTATGAGCGATGTTTTCTTAGCATGGAAGCCACATGTCAAGGGCTTAAATAAGGACAACAGAACTCTGAGAAAGGAAATTGCAAAGAAAATGACATTCTACCTCCTCCAAAGGAGCAAAGGCGAGGGCACTGGAGTCAAGCTTGGCTGGCCCCTGGAAAGACTCAGAAACAGGGTATATGGGCAGACAGAAGAGCAAAACCACACAGAAGGAAGAGAAAGGGCTCTGGGATGCAGCACAACACAGCGCTGCATGTGACAGATTTTGGCATCATGCAGAGCTGGATTCAAAGTGTGACTGTCTTATTTATGGGGTGTTTAAACTTAAGCAAGTTATTTAATCTCAAAATGTTGGTTTCTTCATAAGCACAACAAACATGATACCACAGCGACTGAAAGAAGACTAAAGATGATGACGTAAGCAACATGCTTAGCGCATAGTAAGAGCTCGAGTAGCTTCGCATGTTATAAAGCAGTAATACTGGGCGGCGCCTGTGGCTCAAAAGGGTAGGGCACGGGTCCCCTATGCTGGAAGTGGCGGCTTCAAACCCAGCCCTGGCCAAAAATAAATAAAGAAATAAATAAATAATGAAGCAGTAATACTAATAATGTCTACCAGCAAGATCCCAAGACCCTCCCCACGAACCCCCAGCCTTCACGGAGGGCAGAAGCAACTCCACCAACACACCCCACTGCTTCCTCACCTGCTGCCATGGGGATCAAATAAACAGGTCTGCTTGGGGAGAACAGCAGTACCCAGCCCTAGAAGTGACTTGCTGGCAGGAAACAAGCTCCATGTGTGCTTTTAGAAACAGATACTTTGAAGTTCTGGTCATCATTTGCAAGCCCAAAGGCTATGAAACCAAAAGCGTTAGTGTTCAGTAAGTGCAGATTCAAAAGCATGCACACGAGTAGAAGCTTAGTGGTTCTAGGTTACAAAGCCTGCTGGGAGTTCACTAGGCCAGGAGCGGCCTTGCTCTTCCCATCACCCAGCCTGTAGCTGTAGGGCCCCGGCCCCTCTAAGCACCACCTGATCTCTCTGGCTCTGCCAATTAGCCACTAAGACGACACGTTTGTGTTGCATGTGTTGCTTTATGCCCTGGAATCCTTTTTCTCTTTTCACCCACTTGACACACTCCTTCTAGACACAACTCAGGTATCAGCCTTCCCTGACATCTTCACAGAGAATATACAACCTTACCAGGCTTTTGGTTTTTTATTTTTTGAGACAGAGTCTCTGTTGCCCTAGGTAGAGTTTAGTGGCATTGTCACAGCTCACAGCAACCTCAAATTCCTGGTTCTCTTGCCTTAGCCTCTTAAGTAGCTGGGACTACAGGCATGTTGCCACCACGCCCAGGAATTTTTCTCTTCCTAGTGAAGAAAGGGACTCAAATACTCAAGCTTAATCGATCTTCCCACATCACCCTCCCAGAGTGCTAGGATTATAGGTATGAGCCACCAAGCCTGGCCTCAGGCTTTTGATTTTTTGTCGCACCTAGGTGAACTTCTAAAGAGCCAGTCTCTGAAACATAGCAATCTTTTTCATTTCTACACTCCTTCTCAACAACTGTACAAGATATGGGAGGGGTAAGTGAAGACCCTCCCAGGACAGGGTGTACTGTGTACCATCTTACACCTTCCATCCCTGGATTCACATATCCATTTTTTCCTTAAAAGTAGCTTCCCTGGCTCGGCGCCTATAGCTCAACCGGCTAAGGCGCCAGCCACG